TAAATTTAAATTTGATCGATTTAATAATTGTGTTACGACTTTTAATACTAATCCGACTTATTTGTTAATGAGCTATTTATTAAAACGAGAAATTTAATTTTCAATCAAATAATAAATATTATAAAAAAATTTGTCACAATTAATCCAAATATTCAAAATAAGAAGAAAAATCATAAAATGTAATCAAGATTAATGTTAAAATGACTTAAATGTCCATAGTAATTGTGTTTAAATTGATAATATAATATACATGTCATATTCACGATTATGACATATTGAGTTAAACAGGTATTTATAAGTTACACGGGTTGAACCCCTTAACCCTAATCTGACATGATTAAGTAAACGAATTAACCGTGCTAACCCGTTTATGACCCAAACTCATTTAAGATTAACCCAAACTCGCTTATCTCGTGTCGTGTTCGAGTCATGTTGACAAATCGTGTCGTAATTTAGACTTTGTATGGAGGGGCAAGTATTTGCTTCTTCCTTTTCCTTGACACAAAGAACTTGCTGATTTCTTCATTAGCCTGACTGTGATTTGTTTTCAATGCTAGATTGTTTTTCCCTGCTTGACACGGTGCCCTCATTAGTTTTTTCTTTACCTTCATTGTAAACCTTTTCAGCACGTTTTTTTTTTTTTTCCTAGTTCAAACCTTTTCAGCACTTGAAACTTTGTTCTCAGTAGACATCTCAGCCTTCTTCCTCCTTCCTCTTCTTTCCAAATGTCCTTGCCATTTGCCAGAATCTATCAATGAATAATGATCAGCTGGTTTTGCCAGATCCGGTGCCTGCCTTGGAAGAAAGTAGTCTTCTTCAGATGGGCCTTGGTTGGGACTTCTACCGGATCATCGGAAGCAATTATGTTCATAAGCTCACTTCTCTATTGTTGGCCTTAGGCCTTTAATACATAGACAACTCAAAGCCCCCTTTGCACGATGGTTTGCGCTAAGGAATGCATCACAGATACATAGGCCTTTAAATAGTATTTAATGCATAGGCCTTTAAATAGTGTTGGGAATAAATTTACAGATAGAGAGGACAATGATACTGTGTGTGTAAGATAAAGAGCCTTTAGATTTTTGAACTTCTATGTTCACTTGATAAAATTTGTTGAAAATGGAACTGATCCTTGATTATTTTTTTAAAAAGGGATCAATGTCAAAAGGTATGTTAATTTGGGGAACTTAAGTCAAAGAAACTGTGAATCAAATGAGTCTTATGTGCCTATTAGCGGATAATCTTTAGAGCATCTTCAATGGGTTCTTCGAATTTAGGCTTTCCGAATTTGCCATATCAGCATTTTTCAATACCCGCGCCAGCATTTCTCATAGCCATGTTTTAAAGTCTCCAAATTTTAGCAATTAGATGTACTCTAATGGTGCATTTTCGCTTTTCAAAAATATTAATATTTTAATATTTTTAAAATTTGTAATAAATTTTATTTTAAAACTTTATCCTAACGGCTATATTTTTAAAATGGTTATATCAAACAAAAAATTTAAACAATACAATATTTATTATTAAAAATAATACGATACGATATAGATTTAAACAATATAATAAAAATAAAAAAGTAATACAATTCGACATGAATTAAAAACATAACAACTAGAAAAAACAGAACAATCATATGGAATACTTGAGATAATCTTATGGAAAGCTTGAGTTACTGCGTGCGCGTATAGATATTAATATTTCATTTTGTCATTCAATTAGCCACGCTTTTTCAGCTTGTGTTGGCATCGATTCTGGATCTTTTTGCATGATTAACATCTCTTCAGCTCTTTATTTATTTACAATCTCTCTTAGTTTGCTTTGAAGTTAGAGTTGTCTGGTCTTTTCTTTATCTGTTTTACGTGCCTCTCGTGCTATTTAAGCGGCTTCAAGAGTTTCAAATTGTATTTGATAAAGGGCTGTTGCATGATCGAATTTGCTAATGAAATCATTCTAACTTTCAGATTGTCTTTTATCCTTATTTTGCCTCTGATTCGCTACTTTTCGTCCTTCTGGTCGCTGACATTCTTTAACATCCGTCGGATCATTTTCGCCTATGTGCACTGATCCTTCAACCGAACTTGGTGTCGTTGCTTCATTACTTGATGGAGTAGATGGATTTGAGTGACTAATAAGCTCACTATCATCAATGTGGATTCCACTCCTCTTTTTCGGTTGGCTTAATTTTATTTTATTTTATTTTATTTTTTTTTTTTTTTATGTCAATTCTTTTTGACAATGTAAATGTCATTTATTGTTGCTCTTCAAAATATTCCAACAACTGTCAAACTTAAATTTGGTGTTATTTTGACGAGCGAACAACTCTTTGGCTACTATTATCTAAAAAAAAAAAAAATCAATAATTATTAGAAAACAAAATTTTAAAATATTTACCAATTCAATTTAATATAATAAATAACTTACTTTGTGCTCATTGTCTTGCCTACTGAGGTAATTCCTTTCAATCTGGGCCATGCATCCAGAAAATTTGGTAATCATTTGTTGCATGAAGGACCAACGATTCAAGCAAGCGATATGATTTCTTTTAGGTGTACCAGCACCACTAACGTGTTGCTCAAAACTTTCTTAAATTCGGATCCATAACGTTGCCTTTTGTTGGTCTGAACCGATGACCGCATTAGTGTAATGGCCATCCACGCATAACATAAAACCTTATCTTCAACCGTAGACCAATTTGGAGGCCGAATAGCCTTTATTTTTTGGGAGGTTGGGCGTTACTGGATTATGGCACTTCAATATCAATGTTAGAAGCTTGAGAAGGTTGATGAAATGGAAATTGAGAATCTTCTTCAACAAATTGAGATTCTTCTCCAACAAATAAGAAGGGATCAAAATTATCATTTGATTAGTTGAATTGGGAGTTGTAGTTGTAACATAGTGGTGGAGGATCCATGGAATTGAATTTGAGTAAAAAATATAACTAAAATATTGAGAAAATGACTTAATGGTTGTAGTTGTAGGTTAAAGACTATAGAAGATGGGTTGGATATGAGGTGAATTAGTAGGGGTTGATGTATTTATCGAGGAAAAATGAAAGGTTTTTTTTTTTTTTATTTTTTTTAAATAAATAAATATATATATAATTATTTTTAAAAAATAAATTCAAAAAATAGGTTTTTGTGCTAATATAGCCGTGAAGACACTCTTTGGGTTAGCCAAACAGTGCCTAAAACGGCTATATGTCAGAAGGAATATTTTTAAAAATAATTTTTTTTTTTAAAAAAAAAAAAAAAAAAACACTTTTCTCTCTTTTTTTTAAAAAAAATTTTGCCCAGAAAAGTCTTTAAGGCACTATTTGTGTCAGCCAAACAGTGCCTTAAAAACTCTTTGGTTCAATTATTTTGAGGGAAAAAAAAATGAAAAAAAAAAAGAGACCAAAACAAGCCAAAAATATGTTTTTTTACCTTTTTTTTTTTTTTCCAAGCAAACAGAGCCTTAGGAACAGTGTTCTGGGCTTCAAGGTGCTTGGAGAAAATAGAGGGGCTGGAAGATATCGGGATAAAAAAGATCGTAATTCTAGGGAGTTTTATATGAAGATGGATCTCTCCAGTTTTAACGGTAATCTTAATATTGAAGATATCTTGGATTGGTTGGCAAAAGTTGAGAGATTCTTTGATTATGTACATATCCAAGAAGATAAGAAAGTGAAACTAGTGGCATATAGACTCAAGGGATGTGCTTCTGCGTGGTAGGAACAACTTTAGGTTGCTTGCGCACGGCAAAGAAAGACACCAGTACGCTCCTAGCAGAAGATGCAGTGTCTAATAAGGGGAAGATTCTTGCCACCAGATTATGAATAAACTTTATTCCAAAAGTATGAGGATTGCAAATAGGGAACTCGAACGGTTCAGGCCTATACGGAGGAATTCAATCGGTTGACGTCTCGGAACGACCTATGGGAAACTGAGATGCAACGAGTTACTCGTTATCTAAATGGTCTGCGATATGCCATTCATGATAGGGTATCAACACAGATAATTTACACTTTACCAGAAACCACGAATACAGCAACCAGGGCAGAGGCCTTTTTGGAGAAAGCGAAAACACCGACTAGCTCCAGGAATTACTTTAATTCAACACGTTTAACGACGAACAAAGCAAAACAACCCATGTATTCTCAACCTTCTATTCCAGCAATACCTGATTTGGCTAGCACTAGTAGTCAGCCAAAAAAAACCAGAACAGCTCCCATAGCAAGTCCGGATACATCTAAAAATAATCCCTACAGTTGGCCCAACCCTATTAAGTGTTATCGATGCGAGCAGCCAAAACATCGATCTAATGAATGTCCACAAAGGTGCTCAGTCAACTTAATAGAACCTAGGGGTAAGGAGGATCAAGATAAAGAAGATGACGAAGGGTTTCCTTTATACGATGAGGAAGAGATGATCGGAGAAGATAAGGGGGATCTACTATCCCATTCTCTAGTTGTGCTAAAGCTGTTACTTGCCCCGAAAATGGAAGAGCATCCACAGAGGCACAATATATTTCGGATACGATGCACTGTCAATAAGAAAGTCTGTGATGTTATTATTGATAGTGGCAGTAGCGAGAATATTGTATCAAGGGCGATGGTCCAGAAGTTAGAGCTGAAAACAGAGAAACATCCGAGTCCCTACAAAATTGGTTTGATTAAAAAAGGGGCAGAAATAAGGGTTACAAATATCTGTCGGGTTTCCTTTTCTATTGGTAATAAGTATATTGATGAGGTGTTGTGCGATGTTGTTGATATGGATGCTTGTCACTTGATTCTGGGCAAACCATGACAGTTTGACGTTAATGCAACTCATAAGGGCAGAGATAATGTTTACATGTTTGATAAAGGAGGGCAGAAGATTGTGCTGGGTCTTATAACCGAAGGGGATTCTTCCAAGGTTTCACAAACCAAGGGAAAGTGAGTTATTTTAATTGGTAGTGAGCAATAGTTTTTGGAGGAGGCCAGGGAGTCCGTACAGTTTTTGGCGCTGGTGGTTGGAGAAAAGATGTCTGATACTCCTTCTGCAAATCCAACAGTGATACAACCCATACTTGAAGAGTTTCGGGAGATTATTCTAGACGAGTTGCTTAGTGGTCTACCTTCTATGCGAGATATTCAGCACCACATAGATCTTGTGCCTGGTGCTTGTCTGCCGCATTTACCGCACTATCGCATGAGTCCAAAGAAGTACCAAATTCTGCAGGACCAAGTTACAGAGTTGGTTCAGAAAGGTATGGTAAGGGAGAGTATGAGTCCGTGTGTTGTTTCAGCTTTGTTAATACCAAAGAAGGATGTTAGTTGACGTATGTGTATCGATAGCAGAGCCATTAACAAGATCACCATCAAGTACAGATTTCCTATTCCACGATTAGATGATATGTTGGATATGTTGACTGTTTCAAAACTCTTTTCAAAAATTGATTTGAGAAGCAGCTACCACCAGATTCGTATTAGACCAGGGGACAAATGGAAGACTACTTTCAAGACTAAAGAGGGTCTGTATGAATGGTCAATGATGCCGTTTGGATTATTTAATGCTCCAGGCACTTTTATGAGGCTTATGAATCAGGTGTTGAAACCTTTTATTGGCAGATTCGTTGTTGTCTATTTTATAATCAGTCAGATATGGAGCATCAATCGTACTTGAAGGAGGTACTGACAGTTTTGCAGGCAAACAAGTTGTACATCAATCTGAAAAAGTGCACTTTTATGACCAATAGTTTACTGTTTCTGGATTTTGTGGTGAGTGCTAAAGGCATTTGGGTTGATGAGGAAAAAGTTTGAGCAATTCGAGAATGGCCCACGCCAAAAACAATAGGCGATGTGTGCAGTTTTCATGGTTTAGCAACATTTTATCGGAGATTCTTTAGAAATTTTAGCAGTATTGTTGCTCCTATTACAGAATGCATGAAGAAGGGAAAATTTAAATAAGGTGAAGAGGCAGAACAGAGCTTTGCGCTGATCAAAGAAAAACTGTCCAATGCACCTATTCTAGCATTGCTAAGTTTTGAGAAATTGTTTGAGGTTGAGTGTGATGCCTCAGTCATTGGAGTTGGTGTTATTCTTTCCCAAGAGGGTAGACCAGTTGTGTTCCATAGTGAAAAGCTTAGTAATGCAAGGAAGAAGTGGACTACCTATGAGCTTGAGTTTTATTCAGTGGTACGTGTCTTGAAGGTTTGGGAGCATTATCTAGTGCAGAGAGAGTTCGTTATTTACACTGATCATCAGGCTTTGAAGTTCATCAACAGCCAGAATAATATTAACAGGATGCATACCAGATGGGTTTCTTTTTTACAGCGATTTACCTTTTCCTTAAGGCATAAGTCAGGTCAGCAGAATAGAGTTGCTGATGCACTTAGATGAAGAGCAGCACTCCTGGTGACTTTGCGAGCTGAAGTTGTGGGTTTTGACTGTTTGAAAGTGTTGTATGGGGAAGATGATGACTTCAAGGAATTTTGGGCTAAGTGTCAGACTGGACAGGTTGCTGAGAGTATGGACATACACGAGGGATTTCTTTTTCGTGGTAATCAGCTTTGTGTTCCGAGGAGTTCCCTTTGTGAGCAGATTATTCATGAATTACATGGTGGCGGTCTAGGTGGACATCTTGGTCGAGATAAGACCATAGCTTTAGTCAAAGAGCGATATTATTGGCCACAACTTAAGGGGGATGTTGGCAACTATGTGCGGTGGTGTCCAATCTGTCAATTTGCTAAAGGTCAGTCTCAAAACACTAGTCTTTATATCCCTCTACCTACACCAAATTGTCCTTGGAAAGATTTGTCTATGGACTTTATCCTAGGACTTCCACGCACTCAACGAGGGGTAGATTCAGTTTTTGTAGTTGTTGATCGTTATTCTAAGATGACTCATTTCATATCTTGCAAGAAGACTTCTGATGCTACACATGTTGTAAATATGCTTTTCAAAGAAATTGTTCGTCTTCATGGCGTTCCTAAGTCCATCACTTCTGATAGGGACACCAAATTCCTATCCCATTTTTGGAGGACTTTATGGAGGCGTTTTGATACATCTTTGAATTTCAGCAGCACTAGTCATCCGCAATCTGATGGTCAAACAAAGGTCGTCAATCAGACTTTAGGCAATCTGATTTGTTGTATTTCTAGTGAGAATCTAAAACAGTGGGATCATGCGTTATCACAGGCGGAATTCGAATATAACAGCATGGTTAATCGGTCAACGGGCAAGTCGCCCTTTGCTATTGTTTACTATCATCCGCTAAAGCATACATTGGATTTGGTCCCACTTCCGAAGCTGCCTGGAAAGAGTGTTGTTGCAGAACACATGGCAGATCGCATCCAAGCCATTCAGGATAAGGTTCGAATGTATCTTGAACAAGCCAATGCGAAATACAAGGAAGCAGCAGACAAGAAGAGGTGAAAGAAAGTATTTCAAGAAGGAGATTTAGTTATGGTGTTTTTATGCAAAGAAATAGAGGTTTCCTGTTGGTACCTACAACAAATTGAAAAACAAGAAATATGGGCCTTATCAGATTCTGAAGAAGATTAATGATAATGGTTACGTTGTTGAGCTTCCCAAAGACATGACAATTTCTCCTACATTTAATGTTGCAGATCTATTTGAGTATTTTCCGCCAGATGAGATGCACTCTTTCTGTCTTAACTTGAGGATGAATTCTTATCAAACAGGGGAGACGGGCCATAAAGGTTTCAGCAATCAGTTCAACATCATATTCACTTACTAAATCAGAGATAGTGATTTGATTACCATTTATGATTTAGTAATTAAAATAGGACGTGTTCATTTATTATTGATACACATCAGCGGTGAGTATATTATAGATCCTCACTAGTGAGGGCCTAAGTATTGTCCTTCATTGAAACATTTTTTTATTATTATTATTTCATGATGGCTCTATTTGGCAGGTATGAAATTGGAATTTTGAAATTGGAGAGAAGTAATTCAGAAAATTGAACAAAAATTCTTTAATTTTACAAATTTTAATTCCAATTTCGATTTCAATTCCAAGACTGTAATTCCATACCGCCAAATACAACAAAAGAAAATTTGACATGCTTGCATGGCCTCCAGTGAAACTTGCAACAAAGATATTCTTATATACAGGGAAAGAGTAATGTTAAAGTACGTTATAATAAGAGCGTGATTATATACATTATAATATTACATTTCGTCTGCAATCGTTATTTTAGAAAATCTGGCTACATTGATCTCTCTATTAATAAATTATATGCATATATAATTATATATGTTCTTATCCTTGAATATCTCATGTCGGTGCCCTATGATTTGCAACGTCAGTGTATACAATCATATTGTGTTGTCTATTTAATATCATAGAATCCGTGCTTCTAATCAATCAGAGGGGCGAAAAAATTTATTATCTCTGAGATTAAAAATAAAAAAAGTGCTCAAAATTGGTATATTGTACGTAGTATGTTGTTAGTATCAAATCTAGACCAAGCATCATGATACTTGCACGTATCAAAAGAATTTTTTTCTATAAAAGATAATCAAACAATATTATATAAAGATAGTGTTAGTGTCGTGCACATATCAAAACAGTTTATATTAAAATGGACAAAAATTGACAAATCCTCATCTCACCAAAGTTATTTTATACACAGACAGCACCATTGTTACATATAAACAATATTGAATTCATTTTTTTTTTTTTTTTTGCTAGACTTTTATTTGAGAAAATTTGGAGGTTTTATTATCAAGTGACGGGGTCAAATTCAACACTATTTAAATTCATGAATTTTGATCAAAATCTGATGTGGACATGAAAAAATACTATTTAGTTGTCCAAACTATCTTTAGTATCTTCAACACTACTTTTGTACGTGTAAGTACTACTTTTATGCATAGAGGTACCACTTTCGTGCACACATGTACCATTTTTGTGCTAATCAAATAATCAAAATGCTCTGCACAAAAAGTGATACATTTGTGCATAAAAGTGGTACATCCGTACAAAAGTGGTACTTACCTTCATAAAAGTGATACCTTTGTGAACAAAAGTAATATCTCTATCTCAAGACCGGTATATTTGATCGGGTACTTATATGCACAAAAATGTTATATACCTCTGTGCATAAAAGTTGTACTTACAAGTATAAAAGTAGTTTCGAATATACTAAGGATAGTGTGGAAAAATGAATAATATTTTTTCATATCCACATCAAATTTTGGTCAAAGTCTATAAATTTGAAAAAATGTTTACTTTAACCCCGTCTTCAAGAAATAAAACCTCCCAAAGTCCATTTTTTTATAATAATTTTTACATTTTATTTCACTTGCATTTTACTGGTAAGCAGCAAGGTTGTTGCTTGTGGAGTATTGTTTTTTTTGTTTTGTTTTGTTTTTGCTTGCTTCTGGAGTTAGGAGAGTGTTATGAGAATGGGGCCACACAAATTTAATCATATAATGTAAATGAAATTCAAACACCAAAAGTTTCAAAATTAGGGACAATTATTTAATGTAATGTTAGGATATTAAAACGTGCAGGTGCAGTGGACAAAAAATTAGAAAAATAAAGAAGTATTAGATAAAAATGTGTAATCGATGACTTTAAATGTTAATTTTTAATTATTCTTATAAATCATTGATCACAAATAAATATAAATTTTAAATACATTTGTACAAAGTAAATTTCGTGTCCAAATTGTGGGTCACATATAAAAGAAAATATCTTACATTAAAACCATCGACCCAACCAACCACCAATTCCAAGATTTGTGTCGTTGAAGTATGATTTCACATTAAGTTAGCATGAAGAAATAGCAGAGAGCTTCAAAAGATCGAAGACAATAACCCAGTCAGTCAAAACCAACCAGAATGCTGATTCAGGGGTCCTTCCATCGCCCACCGGGATTAGCTCATCGTTCGATCAACAGACTGCAACATTGTTTCTGTTACCACTCGCCTCTAATTCCAACTCTGACCATAACACCCTCTGTTTTCGCCAATAAATGGACTCGCCATTCCACTTTCTCTCTCATCCTCCTCGATCACACCTGCCCAACGACAAACACCATCAACACCCGAACCTGCAGGGCCAGAGAGAGAAAGGGAAGAGTCGCCCACATTTGTAATTGCAGAGGAGTCGAGAGAGAAAGCGACATACCCAAATCTGACGTCGTCATCGTCGGAGCGGGTGTGACCGGTGCCGCCCTCGCTCACACCCTTGGAAAGGTTAGTTTTCTACTAGCTTTTACCCTTTTCGAACTGTTTGTTTCGTCGGAAAATTATCACCTTGGAAGTTCCTTTACAATTTATTTATTTATTTTTGTTGGTGGCCTGTTTGTTCCACGGAAAAGTTTTTAACGGCAAACAAGTAAAGTTCGGGATGGAATGTAATTAATATTAATATTATTTTTTACATAAGTTCAACGGTAAATTATACTGAACTTTCTTGTGATTTGGACAAATTACACGTGTATGATGTTCTGTCCTACCTATATAGATATGGACACGATTATACATCAAATCTTAAAAAAAAATAGAATAGGCACAGATACGTCAAAAAAATATAACATAATATATATTTTTATATATAATAAATAACATATTTTTTTTGCCATTTTATTCATATAGTCATAAATAAATTATTAATTTGAAATTAAGAGATAAATGTTTGTTATATTTGTTTTCTTAAATTTTATATTGTTTTTTTAATTAACTCATAATATATTTTAGATTGCAATGAATTATAGAAAAATAATTAAAAAATACCTCGCATGCAGTATCTTGAAAGTGGCCAAAACGTTACATTTGCCATTCTGTCCATGTCATGTCCGACTAGAATTTTTTTTTTTTTTTTTTTTTTTTTTTTTTTTTTTACAATTTAGAATACTTCTAGCCGTATCCTATATCTGCATATTTGGAAAGTGTCTGATACCACCACGACGCCTTAATAGAAGTATCTGTGCATCCTCGGTCTTTATTACTTTGACTTCCTCCTCAAAGACACTCAGTTAATAAAATTTTAAAAAAATGACTAAATTTTCATTTTCTTGTGTTAAAAGACCTTAATAATATTATATTTTAATGTACATGAAACAACAAAAATACCATTAAAATGAAAAATATCAAATTTCACATCAATTTCATATTATTAAATTTTAAATTTTTTTTTTTTAATTTTGTTTCAGATAGGGTAATATAATGTTCACACCAATTTCATATTATTAAATTATATATATATATATATATATATATATATATATATATATTTTTTGACATTTGATTATGTTTCTGTTTTTGTAGAAAAAAATAAAAATAAAAAACAAAAAATAAATAGAGCCTGAGAGGTCAAAGTAATAAAGATCAAAAGCTATATTTATGTGTAATTTGCCCAAACCTTAAAAGAAGTTAGTGTAATTTGCCCTAAGTTTAAGGAAATTTTTTTTGTAAAAGAACTATTTTGTGTCAAAACAAATAGAGCCCTTTAGGATCGTTTGGTTAGATGGAAATCAGTATTGGACGGTCAAAGTGAAGTGAATGAAGGAAAGAAAATTAAATTTTTTAAGGATTTATTTGGTTAGCATGAAATTGTTTTGAAAAAAATATAAAATTTCATTTCACAATTTGTATAACTGAAAATTTATATATATATTTTAAAAAAACGTGATTTACCTTAATTGTCCATATTTTTATTAAATATGACAAATGATTAAATAAAACTACATTTTATTTTATTTAAATAAAAGCAATATAAGAATCTAAATTATATATATACACACACACACACACACACACACACGTAATTTAAATAGGCCACCTTAACTGATTGATGAGTGACATTTTTTTTTATTTATAAATGTTCCACTATATGTAATAAAGAAATTATGGGAAAAAAAAAATGCTGAGATTGAAGAAAAAAAAAATTAATTGTATAATAATGAAACAATCTTCATCTAAATTATCTAATTATATACTAACACGGGTAAAATTTGGCTTATTAGAAGGTGTTTTATTTTATTTAAAACACTCAAATTGAGTGGTTTTAGTCTTAAAATACCAAAAATAAATAATATAGTTGTTTTTAATTTCAGTTATTGGATCATCCAATGATTGAAATAAAAGTGGCGTATATTGCTCCTTATACACTAGGAAGCAAATGAACAGAACTGTGTGTGTGTGTGTATATATATATATAAAATAGTTATATCTCTCTAGTACGCCCAGAGAGATATAACTATTATTCTTTTCTTATCAAAAGTTTTGTATAAACACATTTAATTTTAAAAGGTAAAAATGGAATATAATAAGGAAACAAAAAGTTGGTGTATTTTTTTTTGTAGGAATATTTTGTGTGGAAGGTGGTTCTGGGAAGTTACTTCCCCACAAAAGTTTCATTTTCCTACTTATGATCAAACTTTTAAAAACTTTCCATT